CTTCTCTTCTCTTCTCTTCTCTTCTCTTCTCTTCTCTTCTCTTCTCTTCTCTTCTCTTCTCTTCTCTTCTCAGATTTGTTACCACCCATCTCATTGAAATGAGTGGTTTACAGCAAAGATAAAATTCATTAAAATGCAATATAAAACAATCCTAATAATAAATAAATAGCTTCCAGGAAAGATGGGGAGTTGGTGGATAATTCAAGGGAACGTCGTCAGGGCGCTAACCACCCTCAGGGATAGGTAGAGCCCATATTGTCCCATGCACACTGGCAGAGCCAGGTCTTTAAACCTTTTTGGAAAGTTGGGAGGGTAGGGGCCCACCACACCTGGGCGGGGGGAGAATATTCCAGAAGGCTCTCTTCCTGGGTCCCACCAGCCAACATTCTCTTGCTGATGGGGTCTGCAATATGCCCTCTTTGCCTGACTGGGTGGGACGGGTTGATGTAATGGGGATGAGACGGTCACTCAGGTAACCTGGACCTGTGCCATGTAGGGCTTTAAATGTGATAACCAATACCTTGAATTGGACCCGGAAGCAAACCGGCACCCAATGCAGCTCCCGCAGCAAAGGTGTTACATGTGCCATCCTAAGGGCACCTAATATCATCTGCGTGGCTGCATTTTGAACCAGCTGTAGCTTCCGCCCCATGTAGAGCACATTGCAATAGTCTAGCCAGGAGATGACCAGGGCGTGAATGACTGACTGGAGAGCCTCCTGATCCAAGAAGGGGTGTAACTGGTGCACCACATGAAGGTGGGCAAAGGCCCTCCTGGCCATGACTGCCACCTACTCCTCGAGCAGGAGTTGTGAGTCCAGGAGGACTCTCAGATTATGCACCAGATCTGTCTGGAGCAGTGCCACCCCATCCAAAACCAAAGATGATAAATTTTTGGATACAGAGGGGCCTCTAATCCACAGCCACTCCGTCTTACCAGGGTTCAGCTGAAGTCTGTTGTTCTCCATCCAGACCCCCACAGCCTCCAGGTACCTTGAAAGGGTGGTCATGGCATCACTCAAGTCACCTGGGTTGGAGATGTGTAACTGGGTATCATTGGCACATTGATGATACCTCATCCCATGGTGGCAGATGATCTCACCCAGTGGTTTCATGTAGATATTAAAAAGGAGCGGAGAGAGTAGCAAACCCTGTGGGGGTTTTAATTAAATCCTAGAGCAGCAGAGGAAAGGCAGAGTATTCACACTGGCGAATTCCCAGGTAATTAATTACTGCCACAGCAGAGACTGTACCTTTACCAACATAATGGTTAATCCAACTTCGTTGTGGTGTTCTTGGTTTTGACATTGGTTTTATGTTTTATATTTGAGTTTTTTTTAAAAAAATATTTCTCTTTACTTATGTACTTATTTGTAAAATTTCATAATATCCATTTGACAATATAGGGCCATAAAGGAGTAAAAAATACAATTACATATAAGAACATTTTAAAAATGAATTGCATTTTTAATCTCCATTAACATGAATTATTGTGACATAGTTTTAAGGCTATAGAATGCAAAACAAGGTAACAACACCAGTATTTAATATTTGTAGTAAACCAGAAGTGGCTTGAATTTAAGATAGGGTTGTTTGTGTTTGGTGTTCATGTAATATTTTAGAAACATAGAGTTGGAAGGGTCCTACAAAATAATCTAGTCCAGAGGTGTACAACTTTTCAGATGCAAGAGCCACACTCTAAAAAATGAGAAGAACCCCCACAGGACAAGTAAGGGAGCTAGGCTGGGACAGAAACTAAATTTGATTGAATTTGCTTATTTAGTAAAATTAACTAAATGCAGATAATTTGATGGTTCCCACTCTATACAAGATTTTCTCATTTTTGTCTCATTAAAAATTAGTCCAGTGTAATTGGACCTAAGATTTCATGGTTGGACCTAACATTTTGGGAACTGTATGTGCACCTGGGAGATAGTCCAATACTGGGGAATCTATGACCCATCAGACGTTGCTGAACTCAAAGTCCCATCATTTCTCAACTTTGGCCATGCTGGCCAGGACTATTGGTAGCTGTAGTTCAGCTCAAGTGTGGGATTTGCAATGGAGAATACTGCTTCAAGCCTTTGAACATCTGATGAAGGACAGTATTACCAGTTAGAAACTGCTTCTACATTTAGCCATTTCCTCCCATTTCATATCTATTTGTTCAAATCCTGCTCTCTAGAGCACTATTTTCCAACCTTGACAAGTTCCAGATGCGTGGATTTTAATTCCCAAATTCTCAGCAATGGCCATGCAGGCTGGGGAATGTTAGGAATTGAAGTCCACATCTGGAAGTTCAGAAAGGTTGAAAAGAACAAACTTTGTGACAAGTATTCAAATTCTGCATGAGATTCTGATCAATTAAATTCTGGTTGACTAAAAAAAAGCTGAGATTAATTAAATAGAAGAAAAGGAAGAATAGCAGTTTAAAAAAGTGAAAGAAAATAGTTCCCCCAGGCGGGCCTCAGATTGATGATCTTAAATGGAAAATTTTTATTGCTAAAGGATTGGTTATGTGAGCAATTTTTCTAATTCATTTTGATGGATTAACATTCCCCATTTGGTGCCCTCCTGAATTGTTAGACCTCCATCCCTATCACTGTCAGTCAGCATGCATGACGACCATCCTGACTGAAAATTATGAAAGTTAAAGTCCCACAGTTTTGCAGTAGATTAAGGAAGGATGTTTTTATCTCATTGTGGCAGTCACAGCCCTGTAGGTTATACCTACAGTGGGGCAAAAAAGTATTTAGTCAGCCACCAATTGTGCAAGTTCTCCCACTT